TATCGCCGAACCAGTTACGAACCGAAACATACATCATCGAATTAATATTTCGCAGTAATTTTTAAAGAACTACATTTTAAACAGTTGAGCTTGCTGAAAAATAAAAAATAAATATACATTTATAACTTTAAAAAAAGATAACTATTTACATATATTCAAACTTATATTATAATCGTAAAACAATTTTAAAAATAGTTATTACATGTATAATTGTAATAAATATTGCTAAAGATTCAAAATAATTTAATTTTTTTTTTACATTTTATTACCCTCTGACCCCCCCCTCCAAAAAAATAAAACAAAATGTAATTCTGGATACGCTACTGGGTCTTATTTTGAGTCGTAGTCATACGTTCTTACATATCAGTTTATTTTTTAAAATACATTATAAATTATATCCATATGTAATATTTGAAAATATTTGTGCTGTGATAGATACATTGTGGTTCATATGAAGGGCATCTGAATTTTACCATACACAATATAATACTATTTAAATAATGTAATCAGACTGAAAATAAATCGTATTGTTTAAATTTACAACGTACACATTTTACCTACTCGAGCACGGATGATATCAGCAACAATTTTATGGGTACAGAAAAAATCATTATCATAAGTAAAAAATAAAATAGTATTTTTTGTTTAACGTTTAAATATGCATTGACAAAGTGGCAAAGGTGAATTAATATAAACACGTTTTTCAATATCTAATATAAATTTATCTTATTTAAATTATTACACACTGGTAGCATATTTATGACATTTTACTTTTTTTTGTAATTGATCATAAAATTTTTCATCAAACTAAATACAACTAATCTTTAATCAGTTTACCTTTACTTTATCGATTTAATGAAACAGAAAATAATTTATTATAAATTGATAACACTGTGTCATATACGCCGATCAAATCAATGTACACAATAAATGAACGATCAAAACTATATACTTAAGTCTTAAATAATATATACTTAATTTATTCATAAATATTTGATTAACACTCGGCGTCTGGTGGTAACCGAGTCACATGATCACCTCCACTGATCCTTTTCTTGGTCATCCATTCTCTATATATATATAAAGAATATATTGTTTTGCTTACTTTATGTTTAATGTTATTGTTATCTTACCCTAGTTACAATATTCTCAAAACTATGATATGATACAACATTGTTATCTGAACCTACTAACATGTTTGTATGTAGTTATTTAACTTATTGATTATTGTTTAAAAACTTTACTTATTTTACCTATGATTGTTTTATTATCCAAGTTTTTAAATTTTGACATTAATACAATAACTGTAAGCTACATTATAATGAAAGTTAGACAAGGTTGTTCACATAATTCAACGAAAATAAAATATGTTCTCTATTAATGCTAAAGATTAGGTGAGGTTATAGTATCTAGCTTAATACGAACCACTGTCTAATTAACACTTAACGCGCATTACAGAAAAAGTACGCTTACGCTCGTGCCTGCAACATATTATGTACGATGACTATGTCAGGTTAGTGGTTTACGTATGGTAAACCAGGTTTAAAACCACTGCAGTAAAGACGATAAATTTTTGTGACAATTTTATAGCCTGTGTAAGAGGAACCGGGTCGTACAATACACAGCATGAAAACGTCTTTTTCTTTGTGACGACAAGAAACGTCGACTCAGAAATACAGATTAGACACTCTATTATAATGTATAACAGTTGTGTAATGAAGTCTCATTATTTATTTCCAGCGATTTTGTACTTGATATTGCCTTTGTCACTACGTGTTAGGACGGAGATTGAAAATCGTTTCATTTTAACTTAGCTGTAGTAAATTATAACAGAGGTACGATTAATAACGACACAACTATAATACACGTACGTGTCCCAACAATCGAATCATATCTGTACCTAGTCGTAAACGACCTTCTACGAAATACAAGTCTTCATAAAACGTGTTGTCAAATTTCAATCAAAATTCAAAATATTTTAAATTATATTTATATTTCTACATACATGATCGATGAAAATTTAAAGTTAAAATACGGTTGTTCGTACTTGAATTATAATTAAAAAAATAAAACAAAGTCGATTTTGTTAAAAATTGGTGCGCGTATTTGTTTTTGTTTTTCCTGATTGTTTTGAAAAGGACAGCAAATTATTACTTTTGAATTAAATTCAATTTACGCTCCTGCTTACTAGATATAATTTTCAAACTTAAAAATTGATTTATTGAAGCGTTTTTTATTTTAATTGTTCCTAAAAAAGACGGCATTCACACGTTCAGAAACACACTCACACAAAACACGCATCATTTAAACCAATATACTTATCGCTGTTCACGGAATCTTAAATTGTTCTCTAATTTTAATAAAATTATAAATTATTAATATAATAAATTACAACACTAAACATTTTTACTGGACCGTGAAAAATAGTATCATGATATTTTTTGAGATGAGTCATTATTGAATTTATGTAATATATTATTAACAGCACTGCATATTTTAATCTCAGTTCTAATTTTCTGATTATAATACATCCATTATAATGAATAATGATTTATGAATGATTCATATGTCATTTTTTATCGCGCATGTAGACAATATTTAGACTGATATATTTGTCAATTAATTTCTAAATTACATTTTAATATTCAATTTTGAATGTCAGATATGATTATTAAGGATATTTTAAAAGTAGACTTATGATAAGTTGTATAGTATTAATGCTTGTTTTGACATTTAGTATGTGTTTTTTTTTTTAATTTCAAAAATACTTTAATATTTTGGATTTTTAGTAAATTTGTTTAATACACTTAAGTAATACTCATAGGGCCATGTAATGTCAATCGCATTTTCACATTTTCTGCTGCAGAGTGAGTCTAAGGGAGACGATATGGGGGGATGGATTTCTGTCATGTTTTCGACTATGGACACACAAAAAAAAAAAAAACATAATAATTGTTACGGACCATGTAATATTTAGTATATTTTAAACCATAAAATATATAATATATTGTATGGTGTGGCGGCACATGTTCCGATTAGTCAATAAGATAAGACAATGTGAGGTCAGGACGGGTAGTGTTAACATTGTTTTATTTAATTAAACAATTTAGGTGTGATCACACGTTGCTCACTTCTTAGAAAAGTCAAAACTCTGAGATTGTACCTCACAGTCGACAAGAATAATAAATAAAAAGAAAGACCCCCTCGTGTCATCGGAAGACGCTATCATCATCACCACAATCAGTTCTTGTGAACCAACCATTTATAAGTGAGGCCTGGGCCAGACTCTACGGACAGTTATGGATATCCGAAACCCTCATAGACAGGTCACTACACCGCTCATCCAACATTTTGTATTTACATATATTTTATTTTTGTATTCTAAGACCTAAGTTACGTTAAATCAAATTTTTCTACACTTAATTCGTCATATATTTCATCTCTATGTTGATGCATGAATCGACGTTGTAAACGGGACACAATATTATTGTATTATTATTATTATTATTGTCGGTTCGTCCCCGCGACCCGTGCCCACTGCTCTAACGACGGGTGTTGCAAATGTCTCCGTTACCCGCTTCGAGCGCCGCGTTCGCTCATTGGTCCCCTTCGCTTTCGAAAATCCATAATGGCGTTTGATGCTTTGCATTTTGTTGCTTCTCCAGTTTGCCCGCTCGTCAGTCGTTTTTGTGTCACACGTTCGAACGTTTATGTGCCATTTATCTCCGTCGCCTGTCCGTTTTCACTTAAAGGTATGTCATTTAATTTATATCTTTGTCTTGAGGATTTATCGACGCGTTATATAAAACGCGCTCGCGTAATACTGTTTTTAATGATTTTTGAGTAATCTTTGTTTAAATTAATTTATATTAAGTATGAAAGGCTCCGGCACACAGGACGCAAGCAGACCATACGGTCTCTGTAAAACTGTGGTTTTCAACCGGTCTGTGTTGAGCGATCTTGAAGCGTGCTGTGATAAATGTATTATGGTTTTATAAGTTTAGAAACTTAAGTTCAAAACTCCAAACAACGTAAACAATTGAATGAATAATATTTTAATTATGTTACATTAAATTATAATATAATCATTGTGTACGTTGTACGCACTTGTTTTGTTGTGTTTAGACAAATCTTTGCTTAACAGAACGAAATTTCCAACACTTCTCAATTTTAAATAGGAAATTATGTTTTCATAGATGTTGGGAATCTTTAGTTTAGTATTGAGAATACATTATGCATAATTTTATGTTTTAGCTATTTAAGCATGAGTCTTATATTTTTTTCGATTATTCTTATGTTTTGTTCTGTGTTAAATATTCCTCAGATCAAATTTGAAATAGTTTAGATTAAAAAAATATTTAAATACTTCAAATTGAGATTTAGATTTATAGATAATTTTATTTCTATTGATTATTTTGACTTACAGTTTAAACTAAATTTTGCCATTCTAACTGTGCATATTCTTTTAAATCTTAGTGTCAAGATGCTGACACAGAATAATGAGAATATGTTTTTTAGTATCAGTTTCCAAATCAAAAATGAGACCATCATAAGGTTTTTAAATATAAAGATAAATGTGTGCTAAGCAACCAGATTTTAAAAGATCAAAAAAAATACTAAAGATTGGTCAGCTAAAAATCATTTGAATATAATTATACTGACTCAGGCCTTGCCATAAAAAATCTTTATAATACACATATACAAATTAAGTTGATAAAAATATTTGATAGATTATTTTATCCTGTCTAATGATAGCTATTATTCAAGGATGTTCAAATTTTTTATATTTGAATTATTTTGTTAATAATTTTTATATGCTTTTAAGGTTAAGAAGTACTTATTATATTATTTTGTTTTCCATATTTTTATAAAATATTTTATAAATCAAGTTTTTCATGTGTCCATCTAATTTCAAATGTTATATAAAGAACTGTACTTGCTTATAGTTTATATTTTATTCTTGGTGAACATTTTAGAAATAAAAACTATTATTTCGCTAGATTAATTTAAAATGGAGCAAATTCGACCACAATTGAAGGGAAGAGCTCGTGGAAATTCTCAGGAAGTTAGAGTACCTAGACCAACACAATCTACACAATCTACTGAACAAAGGTTAGATGTAGTTAGACCATTTTCTCCTTCGTTTCTATCACAAGCTGCTGGTGCTTCGCAGCAAATAAAACCATGGGTTCAACGCCCAAGACCAACCTCGTCACTGCCAACACAAACTACACGATCATTCCCAACACCGTGGTTAGATGCAGCTCAACGTCCGCCTTCTGCAATGCCATCACAAGCTGTTGGTACCCCATGGCAAAAGGGCTCTAGACCTCATACAGGTGTAGCTCCTAGACAACACCCAATGTCAGGAGTAAGTATTCTTTTGAAATTTCACAATACCATACATACTCACATTTTTATGCAATGTTTTTTAAAGGTGCAACAAGTCACAGAAGGGCTTAAAAATTTGGGTGCAGGTAATAAATATTTTATATACAAGTCTATATCAAGTATATTAGTGTAGTCTAAAATATTAATGATAAAACTCTTGTCTTAAATTCTATTAATTCAACTTTATGTTCATTTTGATGATGTGTAAAATTAGCTAAGTGATTCTTATTGTTGTTTTTATAGTTTACAAATTTTACTTATTTAATTACTTTTATACATTTATAAAATACACTATTATCTTTAGGGCAAGGTGCAGTACATAAATATAAGACCACCTCAAAACCTGAATCTTTAATAAGAGTGGATGGAAAACAAGGTAAGTTATAATTTAAATAGTTTATATTTAAAATATATTATTAATGTATATGCCTTTTATAATAAGCAATAGAATAGCATATTATATGCATAACAATAATCACTTCAAACATTTAATAAGTCAATAGTGATAGCTTATAGTCTTTTAAAATTATATTGATTAATTTTTCATGCAAACTTAAAGCTTGTATCAGGGTTATAAAAATTGTTAAAAATATGATAATATTGGTTAAATTTATTGTGCATAAATTAAAGCTTTTTATAGTTGAAACTCTTTACAAACATTATGCAAACTTGTATATGTATTCACTTTTAATATTAATTATTACATTTTCTGCTGTATTGTGATATCTGTATATTAAAACTATTTATGTATAACTTATTACTATATATATATTATTCTTTTAATTTTCTTCAGGAACAACTGGACAAGACGTTAAATTGTTAACCAATTATTTTCCTATCACTTCATATAAAAATTATTGTTTGTATCAATATGAAGTTGTCTTCAATCTCGAAGAAGATACAATTAATATTAAAAGAAATTTATTAGCTCAGCATCGAGAACGTTTAGGAGGATATTTATTTGATGGAACAATGTTATTTTCTGTAAATCGATATGATCCACCGGTAAGTCGTTGTTAAAATAAAATTTAATCGATCAATTATTTATATATATAAATATATTATTTTATTGATGATTGTTGTCATAGTATTGGGTTGTAAGAAAATGGTGGTAATAGGTATATTCATAAAATTATTAATGGCAACCACCAAGTAATGTTTATTTGTGAGATAGTGATCTGTTAAATGTTAATTGATTGTGTCTAAGGAACCTAGCATTGAAATGTTATAAGTAAATTTTGATATTTTGTTTTAGACTTTTGAACTTACATCTATACGTCGCTCGAATGAACAAAAAGTTATTATTAAAGTGAAATTCACAAATATAATAGAAACTGGTGATCATGCTAATATTAAAGTCTTCAACTTACTTTTGCATAATTGCTTTCGATACCTGGACCTATCATTGATAGGAAGAAATTTTTACGATTCAAAAGCTAAAGTAAATATTTTATTTAAAAAGTTTTTTATCATGATTTTTCTGACATTTTATAATTGTTTTTAGGTAGATTTACCACAATATAAGCTTCAGATTTGGCCAGGCTTTGATACAACAATTGGCAGATATGAAAATAACATATTATTATGTGCAGATTTAGCTACTAAAATAATAAGAGAAGAAACAGTTTTTCATTTTTTTAATGAGTGTTTCGCGGATAAAAATCATAATTGGCTGGTTAGTTTGTAAAACTTGTGGGATTTTGGTATAGTTGAATTTTAAAAAATACTCAAAGGAGTAATGCATTTAATTTTTTAGATGAACTTCAAAAATGGTGTAATTGGTACTACAGTTATGACGAAATATAACAATAAAACATACAGAATAGACGATGTAGATGAAAATTTAAACCCAAGTTCTAAATTTGATAAAAAAGATGGATCTAAAATGACTTATATACAATATTACAAAGAAGTACATAATTATCATATAAATATTCATCATTATAAACTAAGACTAATGTATTGATTACTGTATTAGAAATGGAATGTTACAATTCGAGGTGGCTGGCAACCAATGTTGATTTCAAAAAATAAAAGTTCAATATTTGAAGTTGAAGATACATTGGTTTATCTTGTTCCTGAATTGTGTTTAATGACTGGTTTAACCGATAAAATGAGGTAGTAAATTAAAAATAAATTAAACTCGATGCATATAAACCATCTTGTGTTTTGAATTATAGAAATAATTTCCATCTGATGAAGGAAATAGCTCCATATACCCTTGTAGATCCCGAGGTTCGGAAGGAAAAACTAACGAATTTTGTAAATCTTCTTCTTAATACACCCGACGTAAGTTATTTTCATTCTGTGTAGCATATGTACATTAAAAATTTGTTTTTTAGAATAATTTAATTTTGTGCAAACGTTATTTAATTTAATACAATTATTTTAATTTTTAGTCTGTAACTGAATTAAAAAAATGGAACATGACAGTAAGTAACAAATTTGTTGAACTTAATGGTCGTAAATTACCACCAGAACCAATTTTAAGTCATACTTCAAGCTACTTCGGTGGTTATGAAGCAGATTGGTCAAATATAGTATGGAAATTACCAATGTTCAAAACCGCAATAGTAAGTCATTGGACTATAGTCACTCCAGAAGTATATGTAAATGAAGTTGGTTTATTTGCTCAATCACTCACACAGGCTGCACAAAAAATGTCTTTTGCACTACCTAAACCTTCTATGTAAATATTTTTTAATGTAATATTTTCTTGTAATCTGATGAGTTTCATTTATAGAGTCACCATAAATGATGTGAAAGCGAATACTTATTTAACAAAACTTGAAGAAGTCATTAATACATCAAATCCCGCGTTGATTTTATGTGTCATTCTTTCGTCACGTGGTGATGTTTATACTTTGATTAAACGAATGTTATGTATTGATAGAGCAGGTATATTTCTGATATATATATAAATTGTTATATGTTTGTATTTATCTAATATTTGTTTTCAGTACCATCTCAAATAGTACTGCTGAGAAATGTACAAAAGAACAATTTGTCATTGTCTACAAAAATAGCTATTCAAATAAATTGCAAACTCGGAGGTACACCTTGGCTAGTTAACATACCTAGAAAAGTAATTATAGTTAAAATATTATTATGGAGTATACAGATCAATTGTAATTACTTTTGCTTAAAACATTTTAGGGGTTGATGATTATTGGTTTTGATGTATATCATGACAGTCATCATTCAAGTGTATCATTCGGAGCTTTAGTAGCTACTATGAATGATACTCATACTAATTATTTTAGTTGCGTTGAACCACATGAAAGTGGAGAGGAACTTTCGGTTTATTTTGCTACGGCCATATTAAGTAAGTACTTGTCAAATTTTTCGTTTACGTTAATGTATTTTTTTATATTTTATAAATTGGTAGTAATTTAACTCAATTGTTCTTTAAATATTCTATACTAAAAGATTATAAATGCAAATTTTAAATTTTGAATAGTGATTTTATGCGATCTGATATTCAAAGAAAATAATTATATAAACTTATATCATTTTTCAGAGGCTCTGACCAAGTATAAAAATAAAAATGGTAAATTACCTTCTTCTATTATTGTGTACAGAGCTGGAGTTGGAGAAGGCCAAATATCAAATGTTTATAAGACAGAAGTAGAACTATTACAAGTAAGTGTTTATTTAAATTATTTAAAAATTGTTTTTTAAATAATTTTTATTTTCTTAGACTGCTTGTGAAAAAATGTACGGGACACCAACTGTACCATTTACATTTGTTGTTGTCACTAAACGAATTAGCACTAGATTTTTTGCTCCTAATTCAGGAACCATTAAAAATCCTCAACCTGGTACAGTTGTTGACACTGTTGTTACAGATCCAACCAAGTAAGCTATGCATAAGCAATTGACATTTTTACCTAAATGTATACTTTTTTTAATTAAATTAAAGTAATTATTACATCGTAGTTAGCGTGGGTAAGTTTAACGTTTATTATTTTAGTGTGTGTATATATATATAATAGACTCATTTTACTGTAAATAAGCTACTAAAGCTACTGTAAAAAACTATTATAGTTTAGCGCCTTGGTTGATTATTAGTCGTGACAAAGCTATCTAGATATGCAAACAATGTTGCTTATCGTACTGCAGTAGAAAAACAATTAAGAAAACATAATATAACACTTATATATCATGAATTGCAGGTATGATTTCTTCTTAGTTTCACAATATGTAAGACAGGGCACTGTAAATCCTACACATTATAATGTAATTGAAGACACACTTAGATTTCCTCCTGACATATTACAAAGACTTACATTTAAATTGACTCATATGTACTACAATTGGCCGGTTAGTATATTTTTGTGATCTATTTTTTATTATACACAAATAACATTTTTCTTATCTAGGGTACAATACGAGTTCCTGCTCCATGTCAGTATGCTCATAAGTTGGCTCTCCTTACTGGTAAGACTCTCCGATCTGCTGCTAACTCTGCGTTGGATGAAACATTATTCTTTTTGTGATTGTTTAATTTAAGAATATGACATATAACTTAATTATTATTTCTTTATATGAATCAATATTTACATTTTCTATTTTATTATTATTATTTTTTTTTTTTTTTTAATATGATTATACGATAAAGTGCTTGGTTTTTTTTTTTTGGCTCAGTTAAAAGCTATTTTTCCATGTCACTTGGTATTATTAACTTTATCATTTATCAATTTAATTCCAATGAGAAAATTTTAACGATTACTATTGATTTTTTTTTTTATTATTGAATAAAATACTTATGATAGATTTTTTCTTTTTAAATTTATTGTTATATCTTCCTAGTTGTCTTCTAGTGTACATAAAAGCTAGATCTAAAATGAATAATAATTATAATTTAATTTAATTAAATAATTATTATTACATTGCAGACTTTGAGTTAAGGTTCACTTTTATTTTATGAGTTAGCTTGAAAGAGACTACTTGAAAGAATCTCTTAAAAGCAGATATTATTAATAATAACGATTCTAAATAGTATAATAAGCACTGCATGGAACAAATGAAGCATTCAAACTATTATTAAAATAGATAGTTACATTTCTAATTTATATATAAGTTATAACAGTTTTTAAGAATAATACAATTTATATCTAAAAAAAAAATATAAAATTGGATTAAATATGTGTCAGTAACATGTATTTACTTAAACTATATGCATATCATTTGGTACATTTAAATGTAAGACATTATTAACACGTATACTGATCTAGGGAATTATTAATAGTTGGAAATACATTAAATTCATGAACAAGTTACAATTAAGGTAAAATTGTTTTACCTACTCAGAAGATTGTCTCTGACTTGTGTTATTAATAAAAACAAACTATTTTCGAATTAAAATTTATTAAAACAATCATTTTGAATCTATGACTGATGCAACGTAAAGCAGACACGTTACATTATACATAGTTAATACAATAACAATGCTAGCTATAGAACTTCTCTTCGTGAACTTATAAAATATGAAAGATTTAATATTAAAATATGGATAAATAATGACCAATAAATATGAATTTATTTACAGAAACTGAATTTTAAATATTAGTATGTAGCTTATATTGAAGATGGACGCCACACCCTCATGTGTTATCACCGTCCTACACACATACAACATGTAAAATTTTCATTAAGCAGAATCCATTTTATATCATTAGCTTTAATATTGGAATAAATTTACCAACTATATCATAATTAAAGGTAACAATTTTTTCTAGGCCATACCTAGGTTTTTAGTACTGTTATAATTTTGAAGTGAGTTTTGATCATTTTAAAGTTTTAATATTTTACATAGTTTTTTTTTTTTTTTTTTTTGTTATTAGAAAATTTAGAATCTGTATTAACAAAAACATAATAAGTAAATGTGATAATATGTTACAACAAAAAAATATAATATAATGACAGAATGGCATGATAAGGCCGATCATCAAATGATAGAAACCTTATTTTACATATCTATAATTGAGTTTAAAATTAAAATATTATTTTTTTTTTTTAGCATATGGCGCTTATGTCCGGGAGTAGGCCCGAAGGCCTAATTCGGACGCCTATTTGGCAGAATTTTTAGTGGGCACCCGTAGGTTTCTGCCATGCCCGGGTGGGGGGGCGGCGGCTTCTCTCTACAGACACCGTGACTGCCTGAAGAGTGACGCCGCCCGTGACCGAGATTCGAACCGGCGACGGTGCGCGACGCAACCGCCGCCTTAGTCCGCTCGGCCACTTCACCCCCCCCCCCCCAAAAAAAAAAAAAAATAAAATATAAATAAAAGCATATGACGTTACTTAAATATTTTTAATTTTAAGTTTTGATTATAGGTAAATTAACTTCAGTATTAAACCTAACAATATAAAATGTCTTCTGTTGTACGCAAATGTTCTATGTTGTATAGGTACTAAAGGTACTTATATGTATATAAAACTGAGATAACACGAGATACAACTAAACCATGCTTTATTATTTTTGGTACTAGACTGAGTCGATATGTGCCATATGATATGAAGTAAAACTCATAAAAACATGCAAAAATGTTTTCATTATTTATTTGATAATCACAAATTAAACAACTTATAATAATTAATTACTTAAATTTTCAGTGAAAAATGTTGACTTTTTTATGCTATACATTTCAAATTTTGTAAAAATATGTAGAAATGTGCATAAAAATATTTCTCCATTAGATTCAAATCATTATGATTCGTGAAGATAATTGACAATAATCCAAAAAAATTAAAATGGAAAAAATGTGCAGGCGTGGCGTTGTCTTAGTAAAACAGTAAACCGCTGTGAAAACTATGAAGTTGCGAATAAGCTGTCGCACGTATTATGGGCTATCATTTTGGCGCGTTTGAAACGAATGGATCTTCGCGGGAAAACATGTATTGTATCTGTACGTAATATTATTATCTATATTTTGTCCCATTTCTGCAGCCAATTGAGTGTGATAACATCGATAATACGATAATCTAATAATTGCTGAAACAACCCGTGTCAAATTTGTATTGTTTTTTGTTGACTGTATCTGTATTTTATATTTTACGTTATTTTACCGAACCACTAGTTTGGATGTCTGTGGATTAAAACTATTGTTAAACTATCGATTGCCGGTGAAAATCGACACATAGTTATTTGTCGATACCATTGTTAATCGATTATCGAATGAACTACTCTTAATTTTATATAATATTTTATTTATACTATTCACGTTTTTTGATTTTTTTAATTTTTTTTTTATAACACGAGATTGAAAAGTTTGTCGAATAGTTTTGTCCGACATGTTCTTATTGTTTCCAGTCCTTTCAACCCATTTATTACACATTTACTTGTTCTTCGGGAAGCGATGTCCAAAACTACGTACAAACTTGCAACATTCGCGCGGAACGAAACGCCGTAATTATTTATCGTAGACTCGCTACCTATTCGTAACCCTACCAAGCAACAATCTCCTGATTCGATTCAAGTTTTCCGACGACTCGTGGAACGCGATGTGACTTCGTCGCGTATCAACTTTTGTTACGCCTTTACTTCCACACATATATTGCTGTTACGCGTCTACGTTACGTTACGTTACGTCACGGCGCAAATGTTACAAGCGTGTGCGCTGCTCAAGAACGCTTTTATTATCGTGCGTAATATCACATCCATTGATCATACACTGATAAGGAGGCGTATTTGAAAAGGACGCCGCACCCGCATGTGTTGTCTCTGTCTTACTTACATACAATATAGCAAATTTTCGTTCAACAGAATCCATTTTATGTTATTAGCTTTAACATTAGAGTAAATTGACCTATTATCAAACTTAAAGATAAGAATTTTATCTAGGCAATGACATAGTGTTTTATTGATATTTTAATTTTATGCTGAGTTATAGCCATATAAGATATTGAAACTTTAAAATGTTCATAACTCGCTTTAAAACTGTAATATTCACAAAAGCCTATGCCATTGCCTAGATAAAATTCTTACATTTCAGTTTGATAATAGGTAAATTTACTCTAATGCTAAAGCTGACAACACAAAATGGATTCTGCTGAACGAAAATTCGCTATGTTGTTTGTGTGTAAGGCAGAGATAACAGATGCGGGTGCGGTGTCCTCTTAATTAACACAATTATCAATAAAATGCACAGGAAAAACTTCACAAGCAATAATTAAATAAACTCGAACAGAAATTTCAAATAGAGGTGTACAAGCGTAAATTGTAAACCGTACCTACGTGTCAGCAATTAAAAAATTCCACTATAACATTTTTATATTAGGTCAATTATATATTATCACAAATGTAGTGTTGCCCCTTTCAGAGAAATACAAGAATTTTATTAAGATGGTATGTCTGGTATGTCGCGTGTCGTAAACATGATGTCAGTTCTGTCCCATAGAGTTATAGCCTCCCCACCCCTGCCAGAGATACTATTCACCATTGTTCGTTGTTGGCTGTTGCCATTTTTTTGAAAACAGTCATCCCGACTACCCCTATAGTTTCCTAAGGTCGCCTGTGCATACAACTGGTAAGTAAATACTGAATTTTATATTTTAATGTCGAAAATTATGCTATAATTAATAATTCAATCGTTATTCACAACATGTATATGTAATGGTTAATGCGCATTAGTCATCTTAGCCCTAATTCGGATTAAAAATGTGTTACTAATCGTTTTTGTGCATTGATGTCATTTTCAAATAAACATTTAGGCACGTGCCACCGATAACGATCAGAAACGTATTTTTTTTGTTTACGACTGCATACTTCAGTAATAATAAAATTGGAATTAGAGTACAATCTCGTGTGGTGGTGAAAACATTTTTTTATACTCTTTGATTAGGGAGGGGTGAAAATTTAAAATTTATTTTTTATATAATGTTTTAATTTTATTTTTTATCAGTTGTATTACAGCTGATATTGTTTAAAATTGTATTGACAAAATAATAAAAAGAATCAAATTGAAAATGGAATCTATCAAACAAGAAAAAAATCAATTGGTGAATGAATGTGTACAAGATGAAAAACCAACAGTAGGTGTAACTCATAAAAGTTTAATGTTGAATTTTTCTGTTAACGACAATGCTGTGTTCATACAATTTAGTTTTATTTAATGTGAATCAGTTATAATATACTCGTTTTTTTTAGACTTCAGCTAATTCCAAGCAGTGCAACGATCAAATAAACAAACCTCTCAAAGTAAAAGCAGCATCAAAAATTAAAAATAAACCACCCGCTCAATCAAATGTAATATTTAGATTATAACATTTATAATTAAATTTTCTTTTTCTATTTAATTAACCAAAATTATATTGTTCAATTAATAGGACACTAGGTTACTGAAATTTAAACATCTCTGCGATCATTTGGCTTATTTAAGACGTACCATATACAATGTATTAAAGGATGATTCACAATCGTCTTCCGATGTTTTCTCCAGAGTTTCAAAACATGTATTTGTCTTTCATGTAAATGTTTAGCAAATAACTTCTAACTTTACATTTAGATATTATAATATTATAATTAAATTTCTTTTTC